AGCCGTTAAGGTTCCCCCCCGCATGGCCAGAGCAGACTCTGGGAGGCAGGGACGGAGGCGGGTTTGTCAAAGGCCTGATGGTTCCCATGTCCCCCTCGGTGGATTTCCTCTAATGCAAAAAAGACGGAACGGAGCTGTGTGTGAAACACGCCACTTTGGAGCTGGGACAGGGCACAGCCCTGCCTGGAAATGCAGCCGTGCTTCTCCGCCGGGTTTGTCAAAGGCCTGATGGTTCCCATGTCCCCCTCGGTGGATTTCCTCTAATGCAAAAAAGACGGAACGGAGCTGTGTGTGAAACACGCCACTTTGGAGCTGGGACAGGGCACAGCCCTGCCTGGAAATGCAGCCGTGCTTCTCCGCTCGCTCGCTTTAATTCGACAGTTTTCAACTCCCTTTATTTCAAACTCAGATGTGTGCGATCTCATACTTATTGCTCCTCTGGTTTATTGCTTTTTTTCAATTATTTTCATTTAATAACCCAAAAGGCTGCTAGATCTCTGATCCAAAGCTGTTGTGGATATCTTCAGTGGTGGGGAACAACTGGTTGGGTTATCCCCCACTTTTGTGTCTCCCCACTGTTGCTGCACAACTGAGGAAATCCTCTGGCCGATTCTCCAGAAATGTGGAGCAGGATCGGCTCCCGTTAAGTACAATGGTCATGTCATGGGACCAAGAAGCGGCTATTGCTGCTGACTGGTTGATACAGGCTTGAGGGCAAAGAACGAGAAACGGAATTTCACCGAGTTTCAAGTCTCCCTACGAAGCCGGATGCTTTCTGCCTCGCAGTCCTGGCTCTTGTCGGCTCATCCCCATCCCTGCACCATCCGGGAGAAGCTGGTGTCCAGGAGCAGCCCTGGCTGAATTTACACCCCCAGATTGTCATCGTACCAGGCGGCTTTCTAGAATACTGTGGGTGCCGGGTGTCACGGGAGGTCTTCAGCAACGGAGAAGAGTGTCCTGGAGAAAGGGGGATTATTCCGAGAGGGGGCTGCTGATGCCACAGTTAAGTTTTGGCCGAGTCTCTGTTGGACTTTTCTTACTCAAAAACACAGAGACACATGGATTTGAACATTCGCCTTAGCGCCGGAGAGACAGTCAGCTCTGGGGAGGGCCAGCTCCGTCGCACAAAGAGCAGGGCAGCGGCGGGCAGGCGGAGAAGAGCTTTCTGGTGAAGAGAGTTGGGTCCAGGTTCCCAGGTGCAAATTCCAGCAGCTTTTCTGGCTGACTAACCCCTGCGGAGACACTCAGCCCCGGGGAGGGCCAGATCCATCGCACAAAGAGCGGGCCGGCGGCGGGCAGGCGAAGAGCTTTCTGGTGAAGAGCCAAACGTCCTGCGTTGAAAGTTGCTGTGTCGTTTCCGGAGTTGGGTCCAGGTTCCCAGGTGCAATGGGACAGGGAGGGGCAAAGGGCCATGGCCTCTTGCTTTGCCTGGCTGCTCTCACCTCTCTCCCCAGAACAGCAGATTGAGTGGTCCTGGCTCCTTGGCCTCCTCCAGCTTTTGGTTTCCTTGGGGGGGCGGAACTTGGATGAAGAGGAGGGGCAGAGTCGGGGCAAGGGAGGAGGTGCACCTCGCGGTCCCCCTGACTGTTAGGAATGATCCGTTGCCCTGGTCTAGTGTTAACCTCACACTAACCAAACGATTTGCCACTTTTATCGTCCTTATGAAAACCTGGGTTGCTGCCCTGCAAAAACTCACCAGACTCTTACCGCAAACCAAGTGATTGGTCTGCTGGAGATCAAAAGCAAAAGTTACGTTCTAAAAGTGAAAATCTGTCTAAGAAATTAAGCGACGCAACTTCAGCAACGTCAATTGCATCGCTGAAGTCGAAATAGCTTAACTCGGCTTTCGGCAATGTCTGCACAGCAGGAAGTCGAAGGAAGAACATTCGTACTTCGACTTCCCTTATTCCTGGTGAAATAAAGGTTACAGGAATTGGAGTGAAACGTTTTCCCACTCGCCATTATTTCGAAATAATGGGTTCACAATGAGCTGCCGGATGCCCCTAACCTTGACCAGCGTGAGCTGACAGGGCCCTGCTGGATTCCTTTCACAACGCTCATTTGTGGTGCTCCTGCTGCTCACAATCACCTTGACATTTGGCACAAGGACACAGGCAATGCTGGTGGCCTGTACAATTGAAGATGAAAGGAGGCTGGAGATGCAACGTGCGTGTCCCGCCCGCTGAGGCTGAGATTAGCCCAATAATCCCCAACGCTGAGGCAAACAGCTCCGGCCAAAGGAGGACTTAGGAAGGCAATCGAGTTTGCTTGGGAGCTAATTAGGACTCCTCCACAAAGCATCCCGGCTCCCTCAGGCTGTCCTAGGAACGGTATAAAAGAGCTCCCGACCGTGGACTCTTCTAAACACTTCTCTGGACTCCATCTCCTCCCTGACCCAGGTAAGTCCAGCTCCGCTCAGTCTCTGTCTAACCCTCCACATCTCCTGGGAGAGGCTGTTTTCATTGCAGACTCACTCGTACCTGTGCTGGCTGTGATAGGGATCAGGGGGCTTTTCCATAATTCTCTGGGGGGCTCAGGTGGCTGCAGGTGGATTCACAATGGGAAACAAAAGGAGGGATGTTACCACAGCAGATGCAAGTGGGAAACTTATTTCCTATTCACTGGAAATAGAATACGGGCATTGAAGTCTTGTAAGTAACCTTAGAAATCCCCTTAGTGTTGATTTAGCTGGATTAGGAAGAAATTGTCCCAATGCAGTCCAGAAAGAGCTGATTCAGTGGCCTTCTGCTTTACTCAGAGGTAGCTGTTGCTCCTCACAATTGGAGACTGGAGAAGGAGAGTGGTGCCGACAAACAATCCCAACGTTTTTCTGACCAGTAATACCCACTGAAGGTGTTCCACCTCACATGGTGGGATGTAGACTCGCTCCATGGATGCCAGGGGTCCAGAACCCATTCTAGCGGTGGGAGGAGTCCTCAGTGATCTGTTTGGAAAAACTAAAAAATTCTGATTATTCATCAGCAAGTTTCGGTGACTCAAGGTTTGGGAAACCCAAGAGCCACACTCTGATACCAAACTTAAATGCTTTGCCAGTTAAGGCGAAGCTCTCAAAGGAAAACGGTGATCTTTTCTTTCAGAAATGTGAGAAAGGGACACGGAATCGCAGGTGTCCCTCTAGAAATAGTTCCAATTTCGCCACTTGGTGTTTTCAGACAAAGACACGAGAGCAGCTCAGAATAGCCGGATGAGATGGAAGTTCAGTACTAGTGGAGAAGAGGCATAGAAAGAGGGTAGAGGAGGAAATAAATGGCCATAGGGACCAAATACCCTCTTCTACTTTCTCTTGGGCTGCATGCAGACCTCACTGCTACAGTAACTGAGCTGAAAAGCATTTTTTCATTCTCATGTGCAACTTCTCTTCACTCTGCCCCCTGCTGTGTGTTCCAGGTTTACCTGCATCCCACCGAGATGGCTTTATCCAGCCTGTGCTATCCAGAATGCGGGGTGGCCCGGCCCAGCCCCGTCTCTGGTACCTGCAACGAGCCGTGCGTTCGGCAGTGCCCTGACTCCGAAGTGGTGATCAGACCCTCCCCGGTTGTGGTGACCCTCCCCGGACCAGTTCTCAGCACCTTCCCTCAGCAGAGCGAAGTGGCAGCCGTAGGAGAACCTGTGGTGGGAGCCGGCTACGGGGGCTCCTTCGCTAACGGGGGATTGTACGGCTATGGAGGCCGTTACGGAGGGTTGTTCGGTTATGGGGGTTATGGTTATGGAGGCCGTTACGGTTATGGGGGCTTATGGGGCTACCCAGGCTTTTATGGTAACGGAGGGTACTGGGGCTACCCAGGCTTTTTTGGTAACCGAGGGGACTGGGGGTATCCCCGGC